CATATATTCGATCCTAAACCTACATAGGGTTTAAAGTATATATCTAGACAAGGTAGTTCTATGCATCAAGTGTTTCCAAATCAACTCTTATAACCTAATGCATCAAATATAAAGGACTCAAGTGATATTTTATAAAACATAGGAGGCTTAAAATGCTCCGGGGCTTGCCTTTCAGGAAAGAGGTGGGTCGGCGATCAGGGCACTCTGAAAGTCCATTAGTGGCCGACTGCTCTCCTTTGGGAGCTATGGGTTGGGGTGTCCCTTGATTGTCCTCCACCTCGTCTTCGAATTCCAGTAGGCTTACTCCTTTGAGCGATCCTATATGTATGAGCATGAAATAAGATGTCATGGATGCATAGATAATGGCATGGATGATATGATATGATAAAATGCATACTCATAAGTGTCCTTAACAACAATGTATTAAAGTGATAACAAGGTAAATTTTCTTTTACTGAGTAGGCACATATCTCTTCTTTAGTAATTAAACAAACACCTATTTAAAACATTTTCTGGACTACAAGACAACAACCACTTGTTTTTACCATAACTGGAGTTATACACATCCAAACAATATAGTTGTGGACTTTCTGAAAATCTTATGAAATTGCCTACAACCTTGTTTTAATCATCTTAAGAAGATTCAGTAACTATCTAGGTCGAACAATTTAATCTTTTAGATCTGTCCAGAGGACAAGCAAATCTAATAGCAGACTTCTAACAGCTGTAACTCTTAAACCATTAGTCCTATGACTATGAAATTTTAGGACAACCTAGATGCGCAAGTTATCTATAACTTTGTTATTAACGAGTTTCACAGAAGAGGTCATTATCATCATGAATTTGTCAACACAACAGAAACTACTCATGCAGCCATTTAGTTGAATTATAAAGCAATAATTAACTAGTTTCCTATAACCAATTACTTCTAAGCACAACTATTCATCTCAACAAATCACATGCATCACAACCACCATAGGAGACATCATGGTTAAGCCCAAATAATTTACTTATGTGCATTTATTAATATCTTTATATAATAAGGTGATTTAAAGGACAAATATTTCAATTTCTTAATAAATTCTTAGAAAATTACATTAGCTTACAAATGACCCCAATAGTCTACTGTACAAATTTCATACCAATTGGATAAGTATAGCAACCTCTACAAAAATGACAAGTTACATAGGCTTATTTTAGCAAAAATAGTTTAGCCTAGTGAAAAGTGTCAAACAACAGATTTCATATTTTCTTTACTTTCATCCTCACATAAGAACACTGTGTAAAAATTTGCATGATCATAAGTTATGTATTTTTACCCCAATTATTTTCACTAGAAACTAGCAATTATTTAAGATTAAATAGGAAGACCATATTCCAAGTATGCCTACTATAGGTTTAGTATTTTTCCTAGCTAAAGCATGTTAATACAATACTAATAAAATTAGAATCATAATTTTAACACCTCTCTAGCTCAAGTTATACATTTTACAAGATAGAAATAAATTTAAAAGCACTTATCTAGCTCAATTATTTTCTCCTAGAAAAATATCCCAAACAGTAGGTTTCATATTTTTATCAATTAGTACACTTCATGATTAATCCAGCAAAATTTGGATCACCTTATTTGGACACTCCTAGCTCAAGCTATAAATTTTTGAAATTTACTACAAAATCTGGAAATAAATAAAGGACAAATTAAATTTCAAATCGGGCCCAGCAGCTAGGTGCACCCGGTCCAGTGCACCCGGAGGCGCTGATAGCGGGGTCCCACAGTCAACGCGACCCTACATGTCAGGCACACAGAGCAGGGGCACGGCTTGACCGACAGCAAAATCTAGAAATAAATAAAGGAGATCACTGGCGTTGTGTTCCCCACACTCTTGCGCATCGACTGATACCCTTGGTTAGCCCGGTGGATCACCGGAGCTACCTTGCCGACGAGCATGGTGGCTCGGTGGCGGTGCGTGGTGGCGGACTCGCTGTCTCCGGCGAAGATGTGACCAAGCAAGCACGGCTACGGCTTCTACGAACCCTAGCGGAGCTCTACGTTGCAGATCAAGCCACGGTGAAGCGGCGGTGAGCTCCGGCCATGTGCGTTGCCGCATGGCGGTGCACAGAGCACGGCGGTGGTGTCACCGTTCTGACGAGACAATGACTGAAGGTAGGTCTCCATCATCAGGGAAGGTGCTACACCTCTAGGTGACACGGTAACGGGTACCAGAGCGGGCTAAGGGAAGCTGGTGAAGTCGGCGGCAGCGAGCGCGTGCTTGCAGCCATGGCGGATGCGGACGGCGGCGTCGCGCGTTCCCGCGTGACGGCTACGGTAGCAGTTAAGCTGGCTGTGGTCTTAGCAACTAGTCCCAATGACGTCGAGCACGACTCCGCTCAGTGAGCTAGCGAGAGGGAGAGAGTAGAGGGAGAGAGTGAGAATGAGCGAGCGTAGCGGTTCGCCTCCCTTTTCTCCCCCTGCTGGCCTGACCGATCGGGCCGATGCCGACGAGTGGCCGCCACACGGCGCGCGTGGCCTAGCGCCAGTCGGCCACTACTGCGTTGCTGCTGCTCGATTTTAGGCCGGTGATGGCCGACTGATGGAGCAACTTCAAGCACATGTAACTCCCAGACGAGCTCGAGTTGGTGAAAACCTCTTAATAGGAAATGTAGAGCTACATGTGCCTCCAACTTTGCTTTAGAAAGCTTCCTCTAATTCGCTAAGGTTTTCAAACTACAATGCTCCAAAGTAAGCTACTTTGAAACGGAAAACCAGCTTTAGACTTAGCAAAATTTCTAAGTCCCTAAATAGCATTTGATTGCTACTTTGGAGCTATTTTTTACTATGTTAGGCACTGAATTAGCTCATGACCCTTAAATAAAGTGTGTTTCCCATGTCAAGAACTACAACTTTTATTAAGGGTGCACTACCATCCAAACACTTAAAGCTACTGTTCAACTTTGGTCAAACTAGCATCATGTAAAAGGCATTTCAAAGTAAGCCAACACTTAGAAGCAAAATTGGCCCATGTCATGAATACAAACATTGTTCCATTTACCATCCTAGATGTGTCTAAGGTGTTTTTGTGACCTCACAACCATCTCTTGCATTGGTCACACATGGTCACAAGCATATGCATGTATATAATCAACATCACATGTGATAATATGTAAAGATTAAGATAAAATTCCATATGCTGATGCTCATGAATGCTTGGATGATGCTTGTGCTCATGAAATGCAAGTGCCAAATGCAATGCTTAACACTAGGGTGTTACAGCCAAGTCCAAGACGACAGCCAAGTCCAAGAAAGGGACAACTGCAGAGAAGTGTAGACAGTGTACTGTCATACTTTTGTACATGACAAATAATTGGCTTTTGTGAAGCAGCTATAGTTTTCTTTTGTCCAGCAGCAAGGCTGCCTTTTGTCAAGCAGCAATGGCTGCCTTTTGTGCAGCGATCATAGTGGACCAAATAGGTCATATGCAAACAGTCTACTTGCAGTTTCATGGTCATAGAAGGAATGGCCTAAACTATGTTAGTTGATTGCAGTGACTGCAGACATATTCCAGTTAATGTTATGTTCATCTGGTATGTTCTAGTTATTAGTATTTTCATCTGTCATTCAATCGGCTTGTGTCCATTGGATGAGGGAATTGCATTTACATCATTCTCTTGCAAAAACAGAAAGTAAAACAACCTTGCATTCATAGAAATTGCAACATAACTCAAATTGACTGAACATTACTCTTAACTGCAGATAAACGCAGGTTTTACATAACACTTCAACACATGATTAACATGATTGATAAGGTGACACTTTTACTTGACTAACATGATTACTACACCCACAATAACAAACACAGCAACAACTACAAGGCACACCGCTGCTATTTTTCCTATGTCTATCAACTTCTGTAGCTTCTCATCTACTCTATCAGCTCCGTTCTTCAGAGACACAACATCATCAATCAAAGGTGCCAATTTAGTCTCGTTTGCTTCAACTAGTCCCTCAAGGTGTCCAATTGCAATCCTGATCTGCTCAACTTCAGGCAAGAATTCCTCAGGCCTAATGACAACCACAACAGTCCCAGTCTTCTCAATATATCCCTTGGCAATCAACATTTTCTCGTACTTGTCGGCAAATAGATACCATGGGCAAGTTCCAAGCACCTGCAATTGATACAGGAGGGTTCAACCAAATCAAAATGAGGAGAAAGCTACTGGTACAGGGAGGGTTGAACCTTAGGGCTTACATCTCTCTCATGAAGCCGGCACTTGAAGAAGATGGCCCTCAGGACCTTAGATCCTAGACCACAAGTGAGCTCCATGATCTCCTCGCCACATGTGGGGCAAGGCACAAGCGGCAGCCCCATGCGCTTCCCAAATTTGGGGGCCACAATCCCCTGCGCTGACGATGAGCCACCGAACGTCATCGCAGAATGCGTGCCGCGAACCGGAGGAAGCGAGCGGCGGGCAGCGTGCGGCCGGTGGCGAGCCAAGAACCCTAACACTCAGAACGAATGGGGAAGAGAATGGCTAGAGTTAGGAGTGATGAACAAAGTGATCAAGCGTTTTTTTGCTAAATTGGCACGGGCTCAGCTTCCATCAGCCACGGTGGCACGACCATGTCGGATTATGGGGCTGGCGTGGCTGACTTTGGACCTTCCATGTTCCGCGGCAAAAGATAAGGGATCTGGATAGTTGCTTTGAAAGTTTGAGGACGCAGATAGGAAGGGGCCAAAAGTTTGAGGACCCAGGGTGCATTTTACTCAGGTAGCGGCGCCAATTGTTCAGGCTAGTTACATCCTGATCAAGCCTAAAGCGTTTTTGCCAAATTACAAGATCATCGCAGACCTTAGAAATTATCAAATCAGTAGCATTTATTGATAATTACTTTTTAAATAATAGTTGGCGTGGCCCATGACAAAGTTTGAATTTTTTTTGAAGATTGCAAACAAAGAGATATATTGTTCCTTGTCAAGTCTTAGAACCCTCCATGGGTTTCACTAATTGGACTGGGCCAGCTGCATGAAGTTAATGGGAGTCGTGTACTTGGCCGGCCCATCATAGAACGCCTGGGCCGTGAGAAAAGCGGTCCATTGTGAAGGGTGCGCTCGGTCCCAGAAGACATGGTGGTCGCGGTCGGCGCAGAGCGTGGAGTTGGGCAGGCACGGCGCCAGCCCGCTCCCGCAGCACGCGCCGGCGACGTCGGTGTACCCCAGCGTCCGCGGGTCGGCCACGGCATCCCGCGTGAAGACGAAGGCATCGCCGAGGGAGTAGACGAGGCCCGGCAGCCTCGGGGCGAGGCCGGCGAGTAGGGACCGAAGAGCGTCGTCGAAGCCAGTGGCGAGCTGGTTGAGGGTGTCCTAGCATGCGCCCGCCGGGCTGAACGCCCGCACCGTCGGCACGCAGCCGACTAGCCAGACGTTGACGATGGCCAAGTTCCTGGCGCCCATCGAGTACAATTCCTACATGCATACATGTGTTATTAGCACTGTAATTGACCAAAATTGTGTGTTCTGTAGACTCTAGACATAGTGGCGTGCATGATGGGACTCCTTAAAAAAATGTTGCATGATTATTAGACCAGTGCTAGCTGTAGTACCGTTACGGTGGCGGAGTAGTTGGAGATGAGGTTGGCATAGAGCTCGGCGGCGTCTCTGCGCTGGTCTGCCGCTGACCTATTCTGCGTCAGCAGCTCAGCTGCCGCGAAGACATACATGTCGTTGTTGCTGATGTCGAGGAGGAAGACGGACCTAGAGAGCAGCGCGCTCACCGAATGGGAGCCCGCTGCGGCGGCCATCTTAGCCTTGGTGGCGCCGAAGTACTCCACCTACTTCGACAACGGGATGGTGTTTCTGGCGTTCTGCATGCGTTTGCATGTATATACTCAGTTACTTCAGATAGAAAATATGACCTCTAGGATCATAGATCAGGGGGATAAACTTGACTCAGATGAGAGACTTGATGATATACCTCGTCATACGTAGTCACGGCCATAGTGCCATCGTGACATGGCCACTGGAGTCATAGTAGGGGAAGCTGTGCAGGCACCCGCTAGGTCGTCGAACGCAGCAGCAGTGCAGGTGCGGTGCTGTGGCGGCGGTGAAGGCGATGGCGCTTTCCGTCGCTAACAGCGCCCCTCTCGATCGATTTAGGGTTAGGAACTTTGGGGTGGGGCTGACGGCTACCGGTGATCTCATGTCTTGTGCCTTAGCCTCCACTATTTTTTTATGGCGCTGCACGACGGGGGGCCATCAGCCAGGAGAACCAGCTAAGCGCCCCCGATCAGGGCGTGGATCAAGGGTCCAATTAGCCGTTGAGCCAACTAGTGGAGATTATTCTAACATTCTCCCCCTTGATCTCACCTTATGATTGAAACTCAACTTACTTTATTTTTTTCCATTCCATCACAGATCAGTGCATAGAACGCGCCTCATCGTCACGGTCAGTTGCCACTAGATTAAATAGCTACAATGCACCTCTCTGTTTTAAAACAGATTCTCAACCAGGCCCTTAGTATCCATAAATCATATGCTTTCTCGTAAACCCGTGTCGACTGTGTGTTCTCTGAACGCACCGGGTGGTTAGCCGTTGGTAAGCGGATCCGCAAGTACTTGCTTGGTACTCAAATGCTCAATGCTTTTAAAATGATTCCGGATTTTCTCCTTTACAACATATAACTCAATGTCAATGTGTTTGGCAGCACACTTGACCTGTTGTCTTAGGAGTTAACTACTTTAAATGGTTATTGCTGTTGACTACCATTGTTAAATCCGGATACATATTCCCTCAACCACTCTTGCCTGTTCCTGAGGCCCCATGACAAGCTATACTATGGTATGCATCATTGATGACACCATAACTGTTTTATTGAAGCTTTTTCACAATAATACTCTAACTGCGAGTGTTAGCAACTACTGTGGATTTTACTACACATCTCGTCAAAACTTAACATTTGTACCCATAACTATTTGAGAGTACTTGTTCTTTCTTACTCAGCATGAGGCCTATGATATTTTGCAAAAATCACAAAACATTCTTAATTCCATTCCAGTAATCTATATCTAGACTGGACTTCTGCTAAAAAATCCTGGATACGTAAGCTACGTCAGGGTAAGTTCTTACTTGTATATTCATTAAGCTTCCAACAGCTGAAGCATATGGAGCCATGTACATTTGATGGATCTCATATCGGTTCCTGGAACACTGAAAGTTACCAAATCTATTACCCTTGACAATAGGAGCATGCGTAGGTTTACGAGCATGCGTCGCATGCATACTTTATTTCTTTATAATCTTTTCTAAGTATGCCTATGCGATAGTCCTAATACCGCTTTTCATCTATCTCGGTGAATTTCAATTCCTAGAACCAATGAAGCTTCACCAAGATCATTCACATTGAAACTTGAGGACAAAGACTTCTTCTTCTCCAATGACAGATTAACATTACTACAAGTGAGTAGGATGTCATCTATACACAGGATGTGCAAAAAGAATTTTTCATTCTCGAACTTCGCATAAACGCTATTGTCCTTCTCATTTTCTTTAAACCCAAACTTTCTTATCGTTTCATCAACTTCAAATACTACTGTCTAGAGACTTGTTTTAACCCATAAATAGATTTCTACAAGCGGCATCTCATACATTCTTTTTCTTCCACAACAACCTTTGGGTTGTGCCATGTAAATGTTTTCATACAAATCCCCGTTGAGAAATGTCGTCTTTACATCCATCTGATGTAACTCTAAATCGTAATATGCCAATAACACCATTATAATTTTTAAAAGAATCATTGCATGAGACTGGAGAGAAAACTCTCATCGTAATCTATTCATTCTCTTTGCGTAAAGCCTTTTGCTACAAGTCATGCTTTATATCTTCCCACATTCCCTTTGGAGTCACATATTGTCTTATAGACCCTTTCACAGCCTACTATTTTGGCTCCATTAGGAATTTCTTCTAAGTCCCAAACATTATTGGTATTCATCGAATTTATTTCAACTTCCATAGCTTCTTGCCATTTAAACGAGTAAACACTTCTCATGGCTTCTTCAAATGAGGTGGGATCACCCTCTATTTGAATTTCTTTACTAACATAGACTTCATAGTCATAAAAAAACTGATTTACTAATTCCTTGAGACCTTCTGGGGCCTCAGCTACTGGCACTTTCATATAGGGTTGTTGTTGCTCTTCATTGCCAAGAAGCAATTGATTCTACAGGCTCCTGTATTATAAGATCCTTGTTTACATTATTCATCTTATTCGAAGAGCTAACAACAGATGTTGTATTAGTCATACAACATCAACAGGTATTGAGAAACTTGTTGCTCCTGAGTCACTAGAGTGGGCACGCAGTCCATCTTCTCTTCAAGTCTTAGGTCTCTACATACCTCTATATACCATGCTCCCCCAGGTCTTCCCATCTTTTCTAAAGATAGTGTATCTTCAAATATCTTATTTTGTGTTTAATCTGTTAAAACCTCATATGACGCTTTAAGCACCACCTTAACATCTTTGAGGCTGACAACGCTATCTTTCTGTTGGAACTTTAAAAGGTCTAGGAATTTAGCTATTTCTCTGCTTAGGGCTATAATTGTTGTGACCGTTGTACTCCTCCAATGGTTGCATTTATCTTAATTAATCTTTATCTCACTCTAAATGAAGAGTATCTTTCTTAATTGATCTTTATCTCACTCTTAATAAAGAGTATTTTTCTTAATTGATCTTAATATTCTCTTTCTTGAAATATGGCATGAACTTTACTGCCATAATTTCGAGAACTATTCAGAAAACCTATGAACGAGGAGACACTTATAACTTACTTCATTCACATGATTATGTCATGTAAACAAAGTTATTTCTTGATCCGTTTAGGAGTACACTTTCTTTATTTCACTTCAAGAACTCAACGAGGTCTTTCATTAGCAGTACTTTTGCAAGTCACGCTTGCATCATTTCTTATCTTTTGGTTAGTATTGGCCATGACGATGCATTTCTATTGTGCCATGGTCAATTCTAGCACAGCATAAGAGCTACCCAAACTTCTCTCGCTATGTGGGATACAAAACATGTGAATCATAACAAAACTTCTCCCGCCATGTAGGATTGACTAGCATAAGTACTATGCCAAACTTGTCCCCATGCGGGATAAATCTATATACAAGCATGCATGCTTAATCCAACTTCGGTCAAATTAGACATGCATGTTACTTATTGCAACTCTTAACATAAAACATCCACTTATACTTCATTTTCTAATTAAATCTTTTCGTTGGTTCCAATTTAATCAGAAAATTAGTAAAGCAACAAAAAAAAATAGTCATGAACTGGCTTGACTCAAGCCTTTTCATTGACATAGCCTAGTATTGCAGCCGAGTGATCTCGGTTAAAATTAAAACACACAAGATGCTTCTGCATCAATTCTACATCACCGTCGGGCAGAAAATAGAATTAATGCATAAAACTCATAAATTAACTTGGAAGACATATAACTACTCTTCAAAATTAAATTCTCCTGTTGGTTCGAATTTAATTAGAAGATTATCAACATTAAATTTTGCAGCGGAAACATGAAAAAAAATAATTTATCTACTTTTCAGAAGTATTTTACTGTACTCATCTACTCTCGGAAATTTTTTTCCCGTTGGTTCAAATTTGGACAGAGATTGAAACTGGACAAAAAATCATCAAAATTTGCTTCTGAAAATAATAAACAAAAAACTCAGTGTTTACTATTCATTTGGCCTGGCCTGTCAGAACAGTACACGACCCAGTCTATTACTGGTCTGCGCGCTCGCGGCCCAGCGGCGGCAAAATTGGCCAGCAGCGGCCGCTCGCGCCACGCTCCCCCGTGCCCAGGCCACAACGTAGGCCTGGGCTGGGAATTCCCATTCCTGCAGGGGCCGCTGTCGGTCCGAGTTCTACCTACCGTTGGATGGAGATCAACGGTCGTCCGTGGGTTTCGCTCGGAATAAAAACGACGTCCGCGGCCGCGCTCCCGAAACCCTAACCTCATTTCATCCCTCACCATCTCTCTCTTCGGCGTAGCCGTCGGCTTGCTCTCCCCCTTCTCACCCGAAACACGGTGGCCGGAGAGAAGAGTGATGGAGCCGCCGTGGCGCCCTTTGCCGGTGCACGCGTGCGGCCGGAGCCGCGCGCGACGCCATCAAGCAGCACCGCGGTGGTGCTCTTTGCGCCCCCACACGCGCTCTTCCCTAAACCCTAGATCCCTTTCTCCTTTGTCAGCCCTCAAAGCAGCAGACGCGGGAGAAGAAGGGCGGCGCCGCCGTGGGTCCCCTTGCCGGAGCGCGCGCTCCCCAGTGGGTGAGCGCGTCGCCGTCGAGCGGTCCTGTTAAGGTGCCCTTGGCAGGGGCTCGCGCGCACGGCGACGAGCATGGCTCGGCTGCTTCTTCCCTCGCACGGCAGTAGCGATGGCGGCGAGGAACCGGGTAGGTCCTCCCCTTTCTCCGTCCATCCATCTAGGGTTAGCGTTAGGGTTGGGGTTCAATCCGATTCATCTCCTTCTTGATTTCTTTTCATTTTTTCTACCCCAGTCTAGATCAACATAATAGAAACACGGCTCTGATATCATTGATAGAAAATAGGACCTCTAGGATCGTAGATCAGGGGATAAACTTAACTTAGATGAGAGACTTGGCGATGTACCTCGCCATGTGCAGTCACGGCCACGGCGCCACCGCGACATGGCCACTGGAGTCGTAGTAGGGGAAGCCGTACAGGCACCCGCTAGGTCGTCGAACGCAGCAGCAGTGCAGGTGCGGTGCTGTGGTGGCGGCGAA